GAGATAATGGGGCTCTTTGCTTTGTTAGTGTTCCTTTAGGGGGTGAACTTCCCATGAAGGTCAACTTTCTTGCTTTTGTGTTGTTTTGTTTAGTGTGTAATATCTCAACGAATAGCTCGCCTTGTTTACGTTATCGTAACCAGCGGTACATATGCAGCGTATTAAGAAAAGCAACTAACGAATGTCTTACGTTTTCTGTGCCTCGGAATCAAGCGACTGCTATATATGAGGGGGAAACTATGTTGGTTTGTGTCATTGTGTTCGCCTCAAGTTTTGCAAGTCAAACCAGACCAATTACTGGAAGGGTTGATGTCGTTAGTGTTCTTGCGTGTGTGATACATGTGTTGATAGAGCTGTTGGGGTTTATGTGTAGCCTTATGTGTAGCCTATGTGTAGCTGTGTGTAACTGTGTGTTATGAAAACAAAAAACAGATGCTGGTCCACTCACGCCTTGATACACAACTATGATCTTGCTGCTTCAAATTAATAAAATAGATTATTTGTTTACATATCAATGCAGTTAAACTTCGCTTTTATATTTATGATCTCGTTTTATGAATTCAGTTTGGCAAGAAAGGAATTTTCATTTGGCTATAGTTCCCAGTTGCTGCGTTTGGTGGTGATTGATGGCATTGTCTGTCTGGCTTGCGTAGTCTACGCTCATGGTACGCTTAGCGATGCTCAGCAGGGCAGTCCTACACCCGTCCACAACAAGATATATCCGTGCTGCTCTAGTGAGGGAGAGTCCAACGACTAATTCACAAGTCCGGCTCGCTTCACAGCGGCAAGTCCAACGCCCCGACAGTTGCAAGTCCGACGCCTGCTCCCTTTCACTTTTATAGCGACGAATCCGACGTGTCTGGTACGTCCAGAAACGTACAATAATCCTGGTAGAACCTATTTTACCCTGGCAGAACCTATTTTACCCTGGCAGAACCTATTTTACCCTGGCAGAACCTATTTTACCCTGGCAGAACCTATTTTACCCTGGCAGAACCTATTTTACCCTGGTAGTACCAATTCTAACAATGTGACACCTCACCGTATTATCAGCCTTACTGTCCTTCCCTTGTGACACTAAAAGACATCAGGAGGAGAAGCCTTACTGAAGTCTTAAAGTAATCAGCTGTGTCTTCCCAGACAGCAGACGAAGGTGAGAGAAAACGGAGAAAGAAGAAAGAGAAACAGAAATACGGAAGAATCCACGGAAAGGAGGAATAATGAACAGGAAGGAGGAAGAAAGAACAGGAAAAAGAAGAAGAAAGACGAGAGAGAGAGAGAGAGAGAGAGAGAGAGAGAGAGAGAGAGAGAGAGAGAGAGAGAGAGAGAGAGAGAGAGAGAGAGAGAGAGAGAGAGAAAGGGAAAAAGAGTGTGGAGAGGAAATAACCCCAACAAATATATAATGAACGTATATTTTGATGAACGAACGTAACATTTGTAGACAAAGAAGAAGAAATTATTCTTCAATCCTGTGCAACCAGTAATGGAATCCTGTGACAGTATAGACTAACAGGACGTGGAGACTGGGCCACGTGAAGGTATCCCAGCCCGTGTTGTATATATGTATGTATGAATGTATGTATGTATGTGTGCATTTGTGTGGGTATAATATATTATATACGATTACTCCCCATACATCGTTTAAAAACATATAATAATCAAATATTATCTATAATGAAAAAGGCTTCTCCTGTGACTCAGGAGTAATGACGACCAAATCTGCTCCGAGGAATTCAATTAGACAGAAAAAGACAGGCAAGAATGTTGTAGTCTTCGAAGACCATCTACCCTACCCCCTCCCATGTCTCTCTCTCTCTCTCTCTCTCTCTCTCTCTCTCTCTCTCTCTCTCTCTCTCTCTCTCTCTCTCTCTCTCTCTCTCTCTCTCTCTCTCTCTCTCTCTCTCTCATCACTGTGTACGACTGGTCAGGGTGAGTGTATGTACACCTAGTCAGGGAGACAGTGTATGGTCACTACACACCTGGCTTTGCTAATGAATTATCAGGGCCATGTTTGGAGTCAGTGTTAAGAGTGAATGTTAACCCGCAACCTAATATTCAATTAGAGCTAAATTATAGTGAATTGAGTAGTTCAGTTTAGTTCTATGCCATTTTTTCATCAACTTAAATACCTCTTTAAATCTATCCCATGTAAAATAAAAGTGTCCTCAATGAACCTTAGAGAGTTTATAGGTATTGTAATGGGCTATATTCCTCCCATTACGTCTCGGGGAAATGTTAATGGGTGGTATTTAACGGTTTTTAAAGGTTTTAACGTTTTTTAACGGCATTTAACGGTATTTAACTGTTTTTAACGGTATTTAACGATTTTTAACGGTATTTAACGGTTTTTAACGTTATTTAACGGTATTTAATGGTTTTTAACGGCATTTAACGGTATTTAACGGTTTTAACGGTATTTAACTGTTTTTAACGGCATTTAACGGTATTTAACGGTTTTTAACGGTATTTAACTGTTTTTAACGGCATTTAACGGTATTTAACGGTTTTTAACGGTATTTAACGGTTCTTAACGGTTTTTGACGGTGCTAAGTATGATAATAGGTACTGGATCCGGGGGAATATCATGCTGCTATCATGCCTCTCCTGGTGCTTGTCCCAGGTCAAACACCTGGTGCTTGTTCCAGGTCAAACACCTGGTGCTTGTCCCAGGTCAAACACCTGGTGCTTGTTCCAGGTCAAACACCTGGTGCTTGTTCCAGGTCAAACACCTGGTGCTTGTCCCAGGTCAACACCTGGTGCTTGTTCCAGGTCAAACACCTGGTGCTTGTTCCAGGTCAAACACCTGGTGCTTGTCCCAGGTCAAACACCTGGTGCTTGTTCCAGGTCAAACACCTGGTGCTTGTCCCAGGTCAAACACCTGGTGCTTGTTCCAGGTCAAACACCTGGTGCTTGTCCCAGGTCAAACACCTGGTGCTTGTTCCAGGTCAAACACCTGGTGCTTGTCCCAGGTCAAACACCTGGTGCTTGTTCCAGGTCAAACACCTGGTGCTTGTCCCAGGTCAAACACCGTCATTTTGAAGCGATGCTGTCTCCTGGTAGTGCTTGACAGTCTTTTGGTGGTGTTTGACAGTCTCTTATTTGTATTTGACGGTCTTGATAACGGTCCAGGACGCCCTGATACGTTGTTTCTTAATGTTGTGATGTGCGATGTCATTTCGATGGTGCTTTTGACCTCATAAAGATGTCATTTGTAAAACTCAACTATGAATTTATATATCGTCTGTCTCGAGGCTGGAGACATCTGGCAACCTCCAATAGCGACATCTGCCACCTCTAGCTGTCTATAAATAGGGCCGCCGCGTCTTCCGGACCGTCACTCTCACACGATCGGTGATGGAAGGCGCACGTCCCGACGCCTCTCCCACTGGCAGTCACTTCTGGAGAGTTCTGGCGTGTCTAAATTTACTACCACGGAGCATTTTGTCACGTGGCACAACTAAATTATCATTGTAAGGCGCTATAGTTGCTGGTAATGGGGTGCTGGGGCTCCATTAGGAGTACCAAAATGACCTAACCTCGATCGTGACGGGGAGGAGGGTAGGGTAGGGTAGCCAATTTAACATGATCATTAGCTGTTCCCCCATTCCGAACCCCCCTCCCCCCCCCCCTTTAAGCTGTTCGAACGTCGTTTTATAAAAAAAAATAGTATTTATTTATTTTATTTCTCTGTTAATTTATGTATATACAAGAAGGTACATTGGGTTGTGAGATTACAACCCACAGAAGCACAAAAGTATTTCAAGAACACTTCGTGTTCTGAGAACACCTCTTGTGTTCTCCTTTCAGTAAACAAAATAATATTCACATTAACTCGTCTTATACTCCACAAATGCATTAGGATACACCGTCCACCATTGCACAAACACTATAATACATCGCCCACCACTCCACCTTAACACACTACAATACACCATCCACCACTCCACCCAAACACACTCTGACACACCCTCAACCACTCCACACAAACACACTACAATACACCGTCCACCACTCCACCCAAACACACTACAATACTCCCTCCACCACTCCACACAAACACTACAATACACCCTCCACCACTCCACCCAAACACCAGGACACACCCTCAACCACTCCACCCAAACACCAGGACACCCCCTCCACCACTCCACCCAAACACCAGGACACCCCCTCCACCACTCCACACAAACACTACAATACACCCTCCACCACTCCACCAAACACCAGGACACACCCTCCACCACTCCACCCAACACACTACAATACACCGTCCACCACTCCACCCAAACACACTACAATACTCCCTCCACCACTCCACACAATCACTACAATACACCCTCCACCACTCCACCAAACACCAGGGCACACCGTCCACCACTCCACCAAACACCAGGGCACACCGTCCACCACTCCACCAAACACCAGGGCACACCGTCCACCACTCCACCAAACACCAGGGCACACCGTCCACTACTCCACCAAACACCAGGGCACACCGTCCACCACTCCACCAAACACCAGGGCACACCGTCCACTACTCCACCAAACATCAGGACACACCCTCCACCACTCCACCCAAACACCAGGACACACCCTCCACCACTCCACACAAACCACTAAACACCCTCCACCACTCCACACAAACACACTACAATACACCCTCCACCACTCCACCAAACACTACAATACACCCTCCACCACTACAATACACCCTCCACCACTCCACCAAACACCAGGACACACCCTCCACCACTCCACCCAAACACCAGGACACCCCCTCCACCACTCCACCCAAACACACTACAATACACCGTCCACCACTCCACCCAAACACACTACAATACTCCCTCCACCACACCACACAAACACTACAATACTCCCTCCACCACTCCAAACAAACACCAGGACACACCGTCCACCACTCCACCCAAACATCAGGATACCCACTTCAGCAGTGAGGGGTTCTAGAGGCTCTGATATGTTGCCTTGTGTCTCTCCAGGCGTGTGCAGCGAGGACGAGGAGAGACTCGTCAGGGACCTCTTCCGTGGGTACAACAAGCTCATCCGCCCTGTTGAGAACATGACCTACAACGTCGACGTCGCCTTCGGGCTGGCCTTCATCCAGCTCATCAATGTGGTGAGTATGGCACATAAATACACACAGTCTCCGTGGTGTAGTGGTAAGACACTCACCTGGCGTTCCGCGAGCGCTTTGTCATGGGTTCGTATCCTGGCCGGGGAGGATTTACTGGGCGCAAATCCTTAACTGTAGCCTCTGTTTAGGTGAGTACACACATACACATACACACACACACGCGCAAGCACACACACATTCACACACACATATTCACACACACACACTTGAAATGTCGATGGGGTAAGTACCTATTATATAGGCTGTGGAAAGAGGAATAGAAGAAAGGAATACAAAGCCAGCTTTCCATTAAAGCAAATACCAGGAGGTCAAAGAAATCATAGAAGAAATACCAGGGGAAATAGAGGTAAGTGAAACATAACACCACAAGACGTGATGAACTTCATAACTAACCAAAACAACGAAGCTGAGAGAAGATTTGTACCATTCCTGAGTAATTAAGAAGTCAAGAAAATATATTCCAATTGGTTTAACAGAACGAAGCGAAAAGGAGAAGTAAAAGAGCTTTGAGGAAATATTGGGATCTCAGAACAGAGAAAAGTCACGACGTATATACGACAGAGAGAGAGACAGAGACAGAGACAGAGACAGAGACAGAGACAGAGAGAGAGAGAGAGAGAGAGAGAGAGAGAGAGACAGAGACAGAGACAGAGACAGAGACAGAGACAGAGACAGAGACAGAGAGAGAGAGGAAGGAATTCAGCGGAATTCTAGGAGCAGCAGAACAGCGGTGTGAGAAATATATGTCATCTAAGACACCCTAAACTAACATATAGCCGCATGAGAAGATGATGATCAATGCACTTCAAGTTATCAGACTGCACGGAAGAGGAGGCGGGTACACAAAGAATGACATGAAAGTGTGCGAAACAGAGACCTCAATACAAGGTTGCAATCAATTTTTATCATAGAACCAGAACTGTGCCCAGATCTGTGACTAGTGATGGAACAGCGGTGTTGCCGGAAGAAAGATTGATCGATATAGAAACGACACCAGACGAATGTGGTGAGATGTGATGAAAGCCACAAGCCCTGAAATGATCTCACCGGGGATACTAAAGGAGACAGCTGCAGCATTGTGTGTACCTCTTGCTGTAATCTTAAACTCCTCACTACAAATGAGGGGAGAGGGGGAACATCCTGATGTTTGGACAGGGTCAAATGTGGTACCAATATGCAGGAAAGGAGGAGAACAGGAACCACTCAACTGAAGACTGGTGTCACTCACAACTATTCCCTGTAAGACGTTGGACAGAAAGACTAATTTTAAGGAGGCTCGAAGAACTTTTAGTAGACATCAATTTTGTTTACAAGCTTCATCGGGGATTTACCAAAAGGAAAATCCTGCTTGATCAACTTATTTGAGTTCTACCACAAGATGACAACAAGCAGGAGAGAGAGAGAGGGCTAGGCCGGCTGCATTTTCCTGGACTGCCAGGAGGGTTTTGACACTGTTCTTCACAAGCGACTTCTATACAAACTAGAAGAACATGCTGGTGTATCGGGGAAGGTACTGACGTGGGTGAATGAGCATCTTTAAGGAGGAAAGCAAAGAGTTACAGTAAAAGGCTATCAGTCTGGAGAAGAGTAACGAGTGGAATACTTCAAGAAGCGGTACTAGGTGCCCATCCTGTTCCTAATACTCTACATGTAAACTATCTATCAGAGACAGTAAGCTCATTCTTGTCAATATTTGCTGATCAGAACTGAGGAGGACAACGATACATTAGAAGATGAACTGGACAATCTCGAGAGATGATTTGAGAAATGGCTACTAAACCTCAACCCTAACAAATGCAAGGTTATGAAGACTGGAATTGTAGCAAAAAAAAAACCCTCAAATGCTGTATAATATGAAGAAAAGATAACTTAAAAGATAAGAAAGATAAGACTTATCGTCCACCCACAGCGGATGGAAAAGTGTCCATTATCACCCTCCAACAGGCAGATACAAAAGTCTCCATATTTACTCTCTAACAGTGTACAGTAAAATCCCTCTACTTCAACAAATACGCGGCCTCCAGCACCCTCGCCTGCAGCAAGCCTGCACCAACAGGTCTCTATTCCCTTTAAGCATAACATAGTCAGGGGGCAGCAGCAACATACCCTACAGAAAGATCAACAGAGCCTAAAGGAAAGTATAACACAAGAAAGAGAAAGTTCTACAGAGAGAGAGAGAGAGAGAGAGAGAGAGAGAGAGAGAGAGAGAGAGAGAGAGAGAGAGAGAGAGAGAGAGAGGAAAATGCAAAACAAAGCGTAACATCTTCCAGGACAAAGTACACCATAACCTAGAAAAAGTGTGTCACATCCAGCAGAAAGTGCTAAACAGACTCATGAAAGTGTAACATAGCCAAGAGAGAATGTTAGATACCTTACAGAGAAATGCAACATATTCTACAGAAAGTGTGCCTAACTTTCCCCTAAAATTGCAACATGGCCTTCAGAAAAAAAGTGCAGTAGGGTTTATTATAAATGCATGTACACCACTAAGAGATTTCCCTGTGCAATACAGCTTATGAAAAACACAACATAGCTGAGAGGAAACCCCAACATAACATAGAAATCACGCAAAATAGCCTCGAGAAAGTGCAGCACAGCTGAGAGGTGAATATAAACTTTAGACAACACCCTACCAGTGGGCCTCGAACCCAGGAAGCACAACTACCTTCCAGTAGCCAACCCCTCTTTACTACCAATTAAACCACCGTAATCTGGACGTTTTCTATGCCTCAGCCTCAATAGGGAAGGAAGGGGTTGCTTGAGTAGGTTAGACTGGGGTTAACCTTCTCTTATTTAATGAACAGTAATTGTTAACTGTATTGACCACCACGTTAAAATCCCGTTTGGTATAGTCAGAATTAAAAGGCCGTATTGTTGACGCTGGTTGAGACTAGTGGGGATCGAGCTTGGTGCGGCTAGGGGGGGTTATTTTGGTTCGATTCATACACATATTCATACACACATTTATACACACACTCATACACACACTCATTCACACATACTCATAAACACACTCATACACACATTCATACACACACACACACACACACACACACACACACACACACACACACACACACACACACACACACACACACACACACACACTCACACCCACACCACGAGAGAAATACCTTTAATCACAAAGACGAGAACTTGGAGTCACTTCACACCCAACCAATCGCCTTAAGAACATCCTATTCATACCCCCCCTCCCCCCCCACCTCTCCCCAAGCACCTCCACCCCCTTACCTTCCTCTCCACACACTCACCCCATCTCCCCCCTTGTCCTCCCATTACTGTAACCATTTTCCCCTCTTTCCCTCTTCATTAATTCCCCTACTGTAACCAAGTGCTTGCCCACACAATACCTTTTTTATTTGGATTAACACATTTAGGTACATCTGTTATACTCAAAATTCTGTCAGTTTGCCAGACGTCATGCCATACAGAGGAGCATCAAGCATGCTCCCAGCAGCGGCAGTTATCCTCACAGGCTCAGAGTAGAAGGACCTCGGCTAGGCAGATATTTACCTTGCTATCTCAGTCAATAAATATATACAGAAGCGACTACTGTGTCTACCTTCTACCCGAACAAGGCAAACGAATACATCTGCATTTTTGTAGCTGCCCTAGACTATATGAAGGGGGAGTACAGTGTGTTAAAAAGCTAGCTACGTGATGCTAAAAAATCCCCATCACACAGGATGGTTAGTCCTACAGAGGCACGTGATAAGTAGTCTGCACTGGCAGACTCTGGGTGCATTTTGAGGATATCATCGACACAAGAGTGAATAAGGCAGCAGTGATACTAAAAGTCCCCATCTCGCAGGATGGTTAGTCATACAGGGCCATATGTTCAGTAGCCTGTACTGGCAAATTTTGGGTGCAATATGAGGATATCCTTAAGAACACGAGAGTGAATAAAGTAATTGCAAAGCTCCAGGTACCTCATGCCAACGGGTCTGAATAGTCTAATAACTGAGCATTCGGTGATGTAGTGTGCGAGATCTGTCATCTGTTAGACTAATTTGTAAAGTCTATGGAATCTGAGCTGAACATTTCACATCCAGAAACTTCGTGATGGAAGAGCATTAAGGCCAAGCTTCCTTTCAGGGGGACCCAGGGTCGACCCTGACCCCATTCTGACACTCCTGAGAAAAAAACATTATTAATTCTGCTTAGCTCGACCACTTGGGCTGGACGGTAGAGCGACGGTCTCGCTTCATGTAGGTTCCACTGTTCTGCAAGGCCGTCTGTTGCTCCTTAAGTTCCTGTGTTTTGGCTGGCTGGATGTTGTTCCTTAAGTAACCACTGTTCCGTGAGCCCAACTGGTACTGTTTAAGTGCCAAGGCTTCAACAGCCTATAGCTTCAGCTCCGTAAGTAACCACTGTTCCGTGAGCCGAACTGCTACTGTTTAAGTACCAAGGCTTCAACAGCCTATAGCTTCAGCTCCGTAAGTAACCACTGTTCCGTGAGCCGAACTGCTACTGTTTAAGTACCAAGGCTTCAACAGCCTATAGCTTCAGCTCCGTAAGTAACCACTGGTCCAAAATCCCTACTTCTGCTGCTCCGTAAGTAGCACGGCTCCCTGAAGCCGCCCCCTTGAGGTTTTCTCTGAACAGCCCAAGAAATTTACCTGGCAAATTTCTTGTGTGAAATTTAATTTAAGTTCTAAGTTCTTTTACCCGTCACCCCGTTGAAAAGTTTTCAGCAACAGAAGGAAAAAAAATTCTAAAGTCTAAAAATACCTAATAGAGTGAAATTCTCTCCCCCCCCCCCCCAAAAAAAAAAATTATTTCACAACGAGGAGTCTATATATATATATATATATATATATATATATATATATATATATATATATATATATATATATATATATATATATATATATATATAACTGAAAACTCACACCCCAGAAGTGACTCGAACTCATACTGCCAGGAGCACTCTGCTGGCGTACAGGATCCCTTAACCACTCGACCAACACGACCGGACAAAAGAGGATGGTAGCCGAGGCTATTTCCATCCCCCCGCCGGCACTCGGTTGGTATACTCGGAGATAGAAGATACTCGGATATAAAAGATACTCGGATATAAAAGATACTCGGAGACAGAAAAAGATACTTAGAAATGGTAAAAGATACTCGAAGGAAGCACAATATGCTTATAGATGGTAAAAGATACTCGACGACATCTAAAGTTACTTTAAGACATCAAAAGATACTTTGAGACATCAAAAGATACTCTGAGACATCAAAAGATTCTCAGAGAGGATAAAAGATACTCAGCGACAACTAAAGATTCTCAGAGACAGAAAAAGTTACTCTGAGACGGCAAAAGAAGCACAGAAACAACAAAAGATACTTTGTAGACAGTCAAAGATAATCAAAGACAGCAAAAGATACTCGAAGATGGATTTATTACAATATTATTTTTATTGATAATCACAGCTTTGAGCTTCCTGGTATGCTCAGCACTAGAGTGCTCAGGTCTGTCCTATCCCTAGAGTGCTCAGGTCTGTCCTATCCCTAGAGTGCTCAGGTCTGTCCTATCCCTAGAGTGCTCAGGTTCGTTCTAGCACTCGAGCAATCAGTGTGATTCAGACACTAGAGTGCTCAGTTCGGCAATGAAACGAGGTTCAAGTAGGGTATTAGTGGTGCACATGCACTGCACATTTCGACCCTTGCCTTACAATGCACAGTTTGCACAGGCGATCAGCTCAGCCTGCACCCTATTTCCCCACTTCCTGCACACACACACACAAGTCCGGTGCACAAAATAGACCCTCGTCCCTTAGGGGTTACGACGTAGAAGGTAGATTAGTCTAGGGGGAATCATATGCAGGCGATAAGTCACAATAACGTGGCTAAAGTAAGTTCACAGTCGACTTGAGAATGGTCCAGGACGGACCGAAACGTCGTCGTCCCTTCACCTTCTAGTGTGTGGTCTGGTCAACATCTAGGGGGGGGGAATCCTTCATCCGTAGATCAAAACTGATCTCGTATCTAGGACCTGCGTCTTCTTGGGCCGCAGAAAGCAGAGGTAGGTTCGCCTGTCTGTGTGAAAAGCGAGAAGTGGAGATCAAATGAATGGCTGGATGTTGTGAAAGTTTTGGGAGTAAGAAAGTTTAATGAGTTAGGTTCATGGAGACAAAGCTGAGGGAGAGAGGAAGTGAGAATGAGGAATATAAGAGTTTGAGAGGAACGAGGAGAGGTCTATGAGGCAATGAATGACATTTGGCTTCCCAGGTCATGGTGCTCGGTTGTGGAATTCAAGTTGCAAAGGATGAAGGTGGCTTTTGGGATTTATGTACACTGTTCTTCCCTAGGTATATGGACCAACCCACTTGGGCTGGACGGTAGAGTGACAGTCTTGCTTCATGCAGGTCAGAGTTCAATCACCCGACCGTCTACGTGGTTGTGGCCACCATTCCTTCCTTTCTCATCTCATCCTCAATCTTTGTCCTGACCCCTTCCATGTGCTACATAGTCGTAATGGCTTGGTGCTTTACCCCTGATGATTCCCTCCCCATCCTTCCCTAGGTATACTCACATTCATTCACTCACCTAGATATAGTCACTTAAGATACACTCATCAAGATATACTCACCTAGGTGTACCCATCTAGATATACTCAACTAGATATACAAACCTAGATATACCCACCTAGATAGACTCACCTAGATATACTCGCCTAGATTTGTTTGCAAGGTGAAGCATGAGCTTCGAAGCTACGATTTCTAGCTATTTGCATTTTAATGCACTGAACCCAGTCGATCATATTTTCTTACAAAATTATACATTGCGTTACTTTCGACGACGTCTTCTTGGTCGAGTCCCTTCTTATATTATCACTTTTTTATATTCATGAAGCATTTTCTGACGTATCTATGACGTTTCTGTGTTTGTAGTATCCATAGCCCATCAGGGAAATATTAGTGAATGTCTTCAAGGCCCACTTTTCCTCACTTTAAAATTAGTTTTTTTGTCAAAATGGTCAGTTTCTTTTAGAATCTTGTATGTCACTCACATGTCTCCCCTCTTCCATTTGTCCTCTAGTTTGGTGAGGACAAAGGTATGGTAATTATCATTGCTAAGCCATTACGACTATATAGCATTTGGAAGAGATATATGGATACGAATTTGGGAAGGGACGGAAGGAAGGAATGGTGCCCAACCTCCTGGACGGGCGGGGATTTGAACGACGCCGACCTGCATAAAGCGAGACCCTCGCTCTACCGTCCAGTCCAAGTGGTTGGGCTGGTGAGGGCAAAGTTCACTCAGTCATTCATAATAGCTGAATCTTCTCAGGTCAATAAAGAGCCTTGTTGCAGTCCTCTGATCTGTTTCTACTTGTATTTTCTGCATTTTTATAAGTAGGTGTTCCATGCAAGGATAGCAAATCCTTGCTGGACTCCAGGGGCCAGATTCACGAAGCAGTTACGCAAGTACTTACGAACGTGTACATCTTTCCTCAATCTTTGACGGCTTTGGTTACATTTATTAAACAGTTTAACAGCATGAAAACTTCCCAATCAACTGTTGTTATTGTTATAAACAGCCTCCTGGTGCTTCGGAGCTCATTAACTGTTTAATAATTTTAAACTAAGCCGCCAAAGATTGAGAAAAGATGTACAGGTTCGTAAGTGCTTGCGTAACTGCTTCGTGAATCTATCCCCCAGGGGAAAGGGAAGCAGCGGAGGGAAGGGAAAGCAACGGTGGTAAGGGGAAGCAACGAGGAAGGAAAGGGAAGAGGGAGGAGGGGTTGATCTGGCACATAGTAACTTGCATTTTGCATGAAAATTGAGAAGCAAGAAGTTGGGCCTTGTTAGCACTGGTGTCTTGATGGGGGCTCTCTCTATGCTGGATACCGACATCAGAGGCCAGTCTTGGCTACCTCGACCCCCCCCCCCATACTCTGCTTCACTCGGCGATCCATCTTATCATTTGTTTCTTAAGTCTTCATACCATTATCAACAACAATATATTTTCTACATTAGGCAAATCGCACTCACGTGATATATCAATGAGGAAAGCAACTGGAGCCTTGCAATTTCAACCATATCATAAGCCCAATTAGTATCGTCACTATTACGTAAGTTAATACACAGTTGTAAGACATTAGTGCTATGTAATTTGTTGTAAATTAAATGTGTAGATTGGTTAGTTATATACTAAGAGGAAGCTGCAATAATTGGGTCTATAATTATTGCATTAGGATTGCATATAATTACTCTAATTATATGCTCTATTACTACTAATTACTGTGATCTTATTTCTGATCTTTCTATTTTACAGAATGAGAAGAACCAGATCATGAAGTCTAATGTGTGGCTGAGACTG